TTTGCATCAGGACCCCGGCATGTCACTCTTTATTCTTTGGAGAGCAGTTTTTTCGATCCTGCCCAAAAAGTCTAGATTAGGAGTGGACTTTGAAAACTCTCGGAGGTGAAGGTTTGACTCGTGCTTCTAAAACAATCAGCTCACGAGCCTTGAGCTTCTCCCCTACTACCTAATGTCTACTTTGGGCCGTCTGTAACTATCCATAAAGTACACTTGACGAACAGTACAGGTCCATCAGATTTCAAGAAGTAATACAGAGTTACAGACGCTGACAACTGGACTCAAAAATAAAATATAAAATGTTGGCAACTTCTTCTCGGTGAAACATTACAACTTTTTTGTGTTCTCCTCAGTGAAACATTACAACTTTTTTGCTACATGCTACACTTCAGAAAGGAGATTTACTGTCTCGAAGGAAAAAAAAGAAGAAGCAGCAGATCACTCGATCAGTTGTTGAGCATTTTGTCAGTCATTCAAGATATCACTGGCAAAGAAACAACCGAGTTCCAAGTCATGAGGAACCGCTTCTGATTTATTTCAGAAAAGAATAGATCAGAATAAAAAAAATTATTGGGATACTTGGTGGCTGAAGAGTTTCTTCCTGATCTGCAAGAGGAAGTCAGGGACATCATGAATCTCTGCCAATTGCACACAAACTGCTTGCAATGCAGGAGGAAATCTATAAGGTAAGTAGAAAACAACCATCACCGACACACCTCAGGAAGCTTTTGCCTGAAGGAGACGCCGAGCCTGGCGTCCAGCGTGTTGTCGCAGACGATCTTGCCGTCCTGGGACGCGAGCACCACGCCGCCGGAGCTGTTTGTTCGTCATCAGAAGCATCAGTTCATCGCGCAGCGAAGGCGGTTTCGTAATGGCGGCAGCATCATGTAAATGTAACATCGTCAGTAAGTACCAGGATGGCCCGTGCGCGTCGCGGCTGCTCCTCTGCGGCGGGAGGTAGACCTTGCCGTCGATGATGACCTTGGGGAGGTTGACCTTGGCCTTCTCGGCGTACTCCTTCTTGGCCACCTCCAGCACCGCCTCCACAAGGCTCCGGTCCGCCTCTCGGCACCGCAGCACCAGCGCCGGCTCCCTCAGGCGAAGCAGGCTCTGATCCGATCCATCCCATCGCCGCCGTTAGATTCAAATAGTGCTCAGCAGATTAATTAATTGGCACGCCAACAACGCAACGCAACCGACCTGCACGATGAGGCCCTTGAGGACCCTCTTGTAGGCGTTGGCGTCCTTGGTGACGCGGAGCAGCGCGTCGCCGGCGCTCTCCTTCATCCCGGTGACCACGTCGTCCTGCGCCTGCAGCAGCTTGATGCGCGCCGCGTTCAGCTCCGTCGAGTACTCGCTGCATGCACGCGCGCGCGTCGAAGCAGGATGGATTACCATTACCAGCGTGGATTTTGCATCGATGAATGAATGATGAGATGCTAAAAATGAATGGATCAATCGATCATCGATCTGCTCACATCTTCCTGCGGACGTCCACCTGCTTCTCCTTCCGCTCGTACTCCTGCCTCACCCTCCGTTTCTCCGACTCCACCAGCTGCAGCTTCTCGATGCTGAACTCCTGCATGCATTCATGCAGACGTTTCAGTCGTCTAAATGATGGGATGATCGCAAAAGGAAGGGAAAGAAGGAATCGGAGAATTTACGAGCACGAGATTTGAGATCTAAGTATGTTGGGATGTGGCGAAGACGAGAGTCAGTAGTACGGACCTCCTCGGCGGCAACAGTGATCTCGCTGGCTTTCTCGTCGGCCTCCTGCAGGATGAACCGGACCATCTGCTGCACCTGCTTCCCGACGTCGGCATCGTTCATCTTGGCTGCTTGTTGGCTACAAACTCAACCGATCGACGTGTGATTCCTGCGATCGAGAGAACTTGGTTCCTCGCTCGAGCGAAATAGAATTTACCCCCGAAAGGTTTGTTGTCCCGTGTGCCTCCGATCCTTCGGCTTGGATGGATGAGAATGAGACCAAGAAGAAGGAAGGCCTACGCGGAGTTCGGATCTGTGAGAGCGTGGCGCGTGGGTGTGCGCGGGACTGAGGGAAGAAGAGGAAGCTAGCGACGTGAGGTCGGAAGTGTTCGTTACCTTCCGCGCTATATTTGGCATTGTGCGTGCGTGCAGACATAACCTGTAGTTTCACTGCTTGATAAAATTGCTAGATCGTTTAGATTTTGAAGGTTTTTTTTTGGAAGAAAAATATATAAATCATTATCTTCTTCCTGAGTCTTTTATTATATATCCCTCGATGAATTCTCTCATCTGTCCCTCTCTTGAGTGAAAACTTGCAACTTGCAAGGTCCTATTTCCTCCGAACAGCAGCTCCGTTAAGAAAAGGTCTACTTTGCCTCCATTAACTATCTCAAAAGTCAGTTTTTTCTCCTGAACTAGAAAACCGGACATAATTCATCCCCCATCTTTTCAAATCGGACATATGACCTCCCTGGCTGTTTCTCTAGATGTTTTTTCTTTTTTTTCTTTTACATTTATTTTAGCCGAATCTTTGAAAATCATAATAAATTATAGAAAAAATCATAAAATAAAAAATCAAATTTTATTGAACTCCACATGATTAGATCTACACAGTAAACATATGATATGGTATGCTTTAGTATAAAATTTTTGCTCTAGCTTTAGATCTATGCTTTTCTGTGATTAATTCACAGCCACAGTTTCTGTGGTCTTATTATGATGAAAATTTTATGGTGGACTAATCATCGTATGCTTAAGATGTAGTAAAAATTTTATGCTCATTGGATCATGTATAATTGAGTTATAGACTTATTCAGGTTTATGCTTATTAAATAGTTTTAAAATAATTAAAAGTGTGTATGTTCTATGTGTAATTTTCTCTTTGAAAACATGATTATGTTAAGTGTTCATAAGATATAACAATAGTAATATTACATAGAGAACACATATTTTCTATTTTTACACACTTTGAGCTATTTTAAAACTATTTAATAAGCATAAACCTAAATAAATCTATAACTCAGTCATACATGATCCAATGAGCATAAAATTTTTACTACATCTCAAGCATACAATTATCAGTCTACCATAAAAATTCACCATAATAGGATCACAAAAACTACAGTTATGAATTAATCACAGAAAAGCATAGATCTAAAGTAAAAGTAAAAATTTTATACTAAAAATATCATATCGTATGTTTATTGTGTAAATCTACTCACGTGGAGTTCAACAAAATTGGATTTTTTATTTTATGATTTTTTGTAGTTTACTGTGATTTTCAATGATTCGGTCGAAATAAATATATATAAAAAAGAAAACCCACCTAAAGAAACAACCAGGAGATCATATGTCCGGTTTAAAAAGATGGTAGAGGAGTTATGTGCGGTTTAGTTCAGAGAGGAAAAACTGACTTTTACGATAGTTGAGAGAGGAAAAGTGGACATTTTCTGCTCTGTTACACTGGGCCCAACAACGAGAGGATGACCTTCCAAATTCTATGGGCTGCGGAGACACGTTTTGCGCTTGTCCCGGTTTCCTGGTGCCAGCCCATTGGCTCTTGGACGGATTTTACTACTGGGCCAAAACGGCCCGAACCTTTTGTGGCCCATTTCGTCTACGCGCTCACACCTTCGCTCTCGTTTTCCTCCCTCTCGCTCTCGCCGCCGGCTCGGCGTCGGGCGCGCAGGGCAATGCCGCAATGGAGGCCGACAGGACGTGGCGGCGTTGCGCGCCGCCGGGTCGGAGGTTTCGTCGCAATCGGGTTTATCGGCCACGAAGGCCGAGGTCTCCAAGCACGCCGCGCTAACCGCGGGGCCATGTGGTGACTTTCTATTCTACCCACTTTGCTGGCTCACTGAATATGACGGCCGCTTCCTTCATTTTCAGTGATGCTGCGAAGCTTTCTGACGTACGGTACGCAGGAGTCATGTTCGCTCGGCTTATAACCCATATTTTTTCAGTCAACAAATAGTATTTTTCTCTCACAGCAAATTAGTTAACGATACTTTCAGCCATGGCTTATCAGCCAAGCGAGGCGGTGGGGAGGTGGGGTTGTTGATTATTTTGCATGGGTGTGGGGTCTCACGGACATCCCATGCCTGCAAGGTGTTTGGGTAAATTCCGGTATGCCATTGATTTTCTTTATGCTAGTTGCTGACATCCTAATCCTATGCACGGCAGGCTTCTTGTACATGATCCTCGTTGGCTCCACCTCCACGCGGTTTAGAGCCCATTTGTCAGTGTGAATACGCAGACAGATAAGTAAGCCCGTTCTTCCGGTATATGTTTGTGGAATTGACAACGCCATACAGGTTGCTTTCAATGTTTTTTTTTCTGTTGTGTGCTCCATTTTTTAACTCTCTTGGATACCATTTTAGAACTGGCATTACACACTTCTAGGGTCTTTGACTACTTGTAGAACATTGATTGATGTGGCACAATGGCGATCCTGTGTATTTTGAACATTGGTATAGCGACATTATAGTTTAGGATAAATGTCAGGCTCTCGTTTGGCACAAAGAGCTGTTCTGTTGAGCGTCGACTTTGACTTCAAATAAATAGAAGAGTTTTAACTCATCAACTAACCATATGTCTGGAGAAACGAGATCTTCTCAGCCGATCATAGGCATTAATCAATTGTCCATGAGTATCGCCTGGTCATGAAGCCAGTATGTTTTTCTTTCCTAGATTGAAGCAATCATTGAATTTTGTCTCTGCAATCACTTAACTCAGTCCATGGCATATAAAGTAGCTGAAACATGTCTATGGGTTATGTACTTCAAAGCTGTCCCTCCTACTCTGAGTGCAAAGACACATCTGCCACCTTAATCTCAGAAGCCTGGAGGTGCTTTGTCTATACAGGAGTAACTCTGATTGGTAGTAGAAGTTGCATCAGGGATGGAGAACCAAGGATGTCAACATGTTTATGGAAATGTAACCAGCATCATACATAGCTTGCTTCATGACCCAAGGGCCGTGTGTTCAGTGTTGAGGCCTTAATGGTTGTGGAAATGGCCCTCTTATGGTTCATTGCTGCTCTTGGATCCTTCCGTCGTCAATCAAGCAGCAGGTGCATTAGAACTCTTGTGTGGGCTGCATACACACTACTGTTTCTCATCTTTACATACATGATTGGGTTCATGCAGTCATCATCCATCAAGATTGACCTGTATCCTGTATGGGCTATATCATTCTTTGCAGTGCTTGGGTGCACCAACTCTATCACCACTTTTGAACTTGATGATCAGGCATCCAAGACCATGGGCTCCCCGTGCAATTTCTCTAGCTTCGTTTGGAGAAACCGACCGCCCCCCAAGGGTACGTTTTTTCGGCTGGTTATTGGTAAACAACCGCATACAGTGCCGTTACAACCTCCACCTCAAGCATGTCCTCGACGACGACATTTGCCAACTCTGTGGTAATGCGGCAGAGACTGCCGATCACCTCATCTTTCGCTGCCTGGTTCCTTCGGCTTTCTGGAATCATATTGGCTGGATCGGGTCAACCTTCCGAGCCAACTCACCTATGGGAGATGCCACGGCCACCACATATCCCGGCTAAGCACTTCCTCGATGATGATACTCTTGTGTTCTTTGGCAGATTTGGAACCATCGCCACGACGTCCGTCTTTTCGCCATCAACAACCCCGTCTCGAAGCGCCTCTGTCAGACAAATTGCAGAGGAAACATGTCGCCTATGGAGCAACCGCCTTCGTTCCCAAGACCGTTCCATTGCTGATCATTGGTGTAATTTATTTGTCATGAATTAATGCCTTGTACGATTAAGACCATGTAAACTCTAGGTGCCTGGCACCCTCCATTTACCGGCTTGCTGGAATCTATGGAAAATCATTCAGGTGGGGCTCTCCCCCCTCCGGTGAAGTCTTCAAAAAAAAAACTTGATGACAACAAGCAATGGATGAAACACTATATTCAGTTAATTCTCTACTACACATATGTTTCTGTTTTGCTTCAGCACATGTCAGATGCTTTTGTAGTTACCAGTGTCACTCTTCTATTCACTGTAACCATCTACAAGAACTTTATACGAATACAAGCTTGTGTACTGGCTAGCGAGTCATGGCACTCAAGCAAACTGCTTGCTGACTACATGAAGCATGATGCTGATTCAAATGAGTCTAGATATGACCTCATTAGCTTGTCAGGCTTCAATTACCTTGTATGCTGGGTTGGTGCTAGGATTAGGTCTGAGCCTCCTTACTACCAAAGAAAATTTATTGCAACAGAAAATATTATAACAATTGAGCAGATTTGGCGTTGTAATGGTAGATTGATGAAGTCCACTGAGGGTGCCCAATTGAAAGATATATGCCTTTCTTTTGCACTGTTCCATTTGCTCCGGCGACGCTACTTTGGATTTTCTTGTTCTGAATCTGGCCTCAAAAAGACTCATGACTTCATCTTTAGAGGGCTATTAGCTACCAAAAAGGATTACAGTAGGGCTTTCAAGGTGATAGAAGTGGAGTTGAGTTTCCTATATGATTTTTTCTTCACCAAGTATGCCCTCATGTACTATCGAGAATGTGTAATAATCTTCCTTACCATTATTTCAGTCACATTGACCCCTTTGGTTATAGTGGCTGTAACTCGTGCGCATGGAATACATGGTGATTGGACCACAATGGAAGCCAAGAATCCTGATATTGTTATTACTGTTCTAAATTTAGTGTCACTTGCTTTGCTGGATATGTTGCAACTTATACTGTATTGGTTCTCAGACTGGGGTAAAGTTTCGTTAACTTGCAGGTATGTCAGTCATCTCTGGTGGCAAAAGAATAGATTCATAGAGAAGGTACTTATTTTCCTCTGCAAGATTACATTGCTTCCGAATTGGCAGAACAAGATTGGTCAGTATTCGATACTTGAGTCCTTTGAAGGCAATATTTGTAAGAGATGGTTGAACATTTCCATTAGATGGAGCAGTATCATTTATCTTCATGATCAAGAGAAGATGGGTATTAACATGGGTTGCTTGGTAAATAATCGCAAAGCAGGAATTCCTGCCAATGTGCACAATGAAGTCAAGAAAGCAATTGTGCAGTCTCTAAAGGCTAGCGATGGCCAGCTATCCAATGGCTTGTCCTCCTTAACGAGAAATGGTCTGCTTGAGCACTTCTCCTGGGCATGCAGGCAAGAGACTCAAACACATACAATCTTGATTTGGCACATAGCTACCAGCTACTGTGAAATTGCACCGCCTGAGTTGGAGTTGGGTGGGAGCAAAGAACAAGAAGATTTTCTGATCCAATGCGAGGTTGGCATCAAACTATCAAGATACTGTGCATACTTGGTTGTGTTTGTTCCAGAGCTGCTACCAGATCACCAATGGGATGCAAAAACCATATTTGATGAGGTGGAAAAGGAAGCACGTGAATACCTGGGAGGTGTAAAAACGTTACAGGAAAAGTATCAGGTAATGAAAAACCTGGGAGAACTAGAGGAAACAATTTTTGCGAAAGGTGCAAAACTTGGTAAGCTATTGGAAACCATGACAGATTATGCAACACGGTGGAAGGTGATTGCGGACTTGAAGGACCGAAAAGGCGACCAGAGGGGGGGGAATGGAAGCCGTAAAATTTCTCACGAGACTTTTTCGGTCGCTGTCCCAAAACACCACCAAGCACAAACGAGTTCCGGAGCTCAAATATCCAAGCCAACTAGTGACAAGAGTACCTACTAAAATTCCTCGGAACAGTAGAAAGCCAACGCAGCAGACGGAACACGAAACGGAGCTCAAACAACTAAGCTACAGAAGAAGAAGAAGCAAGCTCTAAAAATAGACCAACATTTGGGTTGCTAACAAAAACAACCATGAGCTCACTGTAGGAAATATGATCAATCACTTGTAATTGACGTGAAATAAATAAATGACCATACAGTGATTACTTCTTGTAGCTGAGGCTGACAACACAATAATAGATGTAGAAACAAAAGTCACGATCAAAGCAGGCACTTGCTGCTAGACAGAACCTGCAAATTTCAGTTGATCTGCACAGAAAAGAAATGCAAGCAGCTGCTGCTCTGCGGGGTATTTGCACCTGGAATCCATGGCAAGCAACTGCTCGATGACACACCTGCAAGACCGAGCAGTAGAGGCAAGTAGCCCTGACGAGAAACTGATTCCCAGAACGAACACAGAAAGAGAGACCGAACACCCAGTCGCTCACAGCAACCGACCGCACCAGTGTCCTCGCAGCATGCTCGACCGGTGATTCAATGAAACCAGAGATGTGCTGGAAGCAGCTACAGGGACAAGCAGGGTCTGCGCTGCTCCCCTCACCAGATTGAAGTGTCGACCTGAAGGCAGAGTACGAAGAACAAAACGAGCAGGCCGAGCGTTACGAACAGAAACAAGGGCGACCCAAGAATCAAGGAAAAACAGCTCCAAACTCCATGATTTGTTCCCAAATTTTGTACACAAAATCTTAAGAGGATCAGTGAGCTATTCCCGAGAAATCATCGCTCAATTTCAACTGTAACTCTGAAAATCAAAGAGATTTGAGCAAGAACGAGTTTTTCCCCAAAAAAGGAAAATCGGCTTGATCTTGATGCACGAGTGGAATTGATTCAAATCACTTGGTAGAATTGTTCATCACTCGTCAAAGCATCAACTGGACCAAACAAATCACACAGAAAAACATAAATCAAGAAGGGGAAACTGGTGAACAGTAACTCGCGAAAAAAAAAACACGAACACAAACACACATCAGGTTTCCACATCCAGAGGACAAAAAGAGGTTAGGGCCTCCATTCTCAGTACCAAATCACACCAAAAAAATATCACGAATTTTTAGTTCATGGGACCTCTCTCAAGAGTGCTTAGAAGAAGAAACCCTAGGTGGAGGGAGAGAATGAGAGAATGGGAGAGAGGTAAGGGAGATGGGGGCTCCCTCATCCTATTTAATTTGCTGCATTACACATTTTGTCCGTCTCTCTGAAAATGAGTTGAACCGCTAAGCCCAAGGCGTTGTTGTCCAACCCGTGTAATCTTGATCCGAAGCGACCACAGCTTACTCACCGGTAGCTTCGCCTCGACGCTGAACTCCCCGATCTTATATACGTCGTCTGTCCTCCTCGGAACCTCCGCCTGGGTTTTGAGGCCCAACACAGAAACGTCTGCATGGTAGCGTACTCCATCTGCGTTTCCGCCATCCGACGCGTGTCACCATGCCATCCCCGACCGCCGGCCGCCAAGTCCTCCCCGAGCCTCGCTCGACTCACGCGTCCGCTGTAGTCTTGACCTTAGTGTCTTCTTGCACTTGTTGATGTTCCAAGTGTCGACCCACCATGACTAGTCGCTTGGACCTCACGGTCCCTCGGTCCAAGCCTCACGTCCAGTCCTTCACTGCTTTGGGTCCGGCTTAAATCGACGCAGACGTCCTCCTTGACCTTCACCTGCGTCAATCAACTACCGCCTCCGTGCTCCACACCTACACACCACGAGCCAAGAGACAAGCACACATAGCTTTCGCCATGGTAGAGTTAGTAACCGACTCAACCTATTCGTGGATCACGTTGATCAATCACTCATCACACAAAAACACGAACACACAAGGGTACTTGTCAACCTTGTGTTCGCAATCTCCCCCTTGATGAGTGCATTGTCAACACCACCACACGAATAGCTTGAGCAAAAGAAAAAAAATAGAGGAAGAAAAGAACTCACCAAATGACCAAAAGTCAAAGAGAAGACAAAGCCAGGTCATTTGAGATGAGCAAAACTTGATCCCCAAAGACATGGGCAACGGCTCGACGCAACCAAGTAAAACGTAGCTAGCCCTCAAGAAGAGGCAGAAAAGGGGCTCAACACCACTAGCAATGCTCAAAGCACCTGAAAACAGCTAGACCCTCCAGAAGAGGCAAAGGCTCAACACATCTAGCAAAAGCAACTCGAAGTGCAACTCCCCTTGAACAGGTGTAATCTCACAAATGAAAGCATCTCTCAACTTTGGGTGGATTTTAAAAATTTCTCCCCCTTTGCTCAATATTTCTCCCCCTTGTTGACATATGCACTTATCAAGCTAGAACCCAAAGATTGCATCTCCCCCTCAAATCATGCTATGAATGCAGAAATGCACGAATGCAGAAGCTTCAAGATTATAGTAAATAGATTGAAAAGAAGCTCTAGTTGATGCTGTCATGTATATATAGCAACACATACAAGTGCTAGCAAATGCTCAAGGTGACCAAATGAGACGAAATATGGCATTTAAGCAAGTTTGATCAAGTTTGAGCAATTTTAAAAGAGGGTTCACCACCAAAGGAGCACATAGCAAAAATAGACAGGAGATCGACCTTGTGCTACACATGTATGCAAAGTGAACTACCCCAAACAAAGTTCACACATCATGTCATGAGACAAACTTGTGGTTTGATCAAATTTTAGACACCAATTGAAATTTATCAGAGTTATGCAGCTTATTACCAAAGTTTGTCAGACAAGTGTGTGCGGGAGGTTATCTGTGCCACCAAAACCTGACTTAGCGACCATGTCAAGCCTATGCCAAAAGCAATCAGAAGCTTAAGACAATGATCTCGGTATCCATTACAGAGCTCAAGTTCACCAATAAGTGCAATTTGAGTCATCTCGATACTCGACATAGGATAGTATGTTCCCGATCTTTTCAAATCACTGAGTTTGATTTTCAAGTTTTAGCACAAATTCAAGTTTCTCAAGCAAGTGTGTAACTCAAAGTATGAGCCGTAGCAACTAAGCATATATATGAAGCAAAGAAGATCTCGACACATTCTACACATGCTAGTTGCCACAAGTAGTGGTGAACACATTTCATGTTTTAACAAGTTTTAATCAAGTTCACAGTTTGGAAAACAAGCTTAGCTCATAACATGCATCAATTGATCAAAAGGAGCCTAAGTCAATAGCACATCATGTATATCCATACCATCCCCAACAAGAGCATAGTGTCAATCTAGCTACTATAAGGATGAAGCTCAGGATGCAGTATGATACATGATGATATGATATGCAAGTATGATGTAAAAATAAAAACAAAAGCTAAACTACAAAGAAAAGCAAAACTAGAATACAACAACCAAAGTTCCCCTCCTCTAAAAAGGGAAACAAACTCCAAGCTCCCCTCGCAAGCGAAACAAAGCTGGCTTGGTCAAGTGGTTTGGTGAAGATATCTGCATGAAAGCTGGTTTTGGGTATCAATGTGGTGCAGATCAATATCACCTTTCTCATAGTGGTCACGCAAGAAGTGAAAGCGAACTTCTATGTGCTTTGTCTTTGAGTGAAGAACTGGGTTTTTGGCTACACTTATGGCACTGGTGCTGTCACAAAACAAAGGCACTCGCCTAAACTCTAACCCAAAGTCTCTCAGAGTAGCTATCATCCAAAGCAACTGGGAACAACAAGCAGCAGCCGCAATATACTCAGCTTCTGTGGTGGATTGGGCGACGCTAGACTGCTTGCGAGAAGACCAAGACACAAGAGAAGATCCAAGAAACCGACAAGTCCCCAAGTGGACTTCCTCTCAACACGACAACCAAAGATAATCCGCATCGAATACCCGCAAAGAGAAAGAGAGGAGGAGGCCGAAAACCAAAGACCAAACTCGGGTGTGAAACGAAGGTACCGAGGATCCGCTTGATGGCTTGCAGCGATGAGACGACGCGTGGCGAAGATCGAAATCAGCGCACAAGCGATTCATGAATCGGATGTCTGGTCTCGTCGCCGCCATTAGGTGCAAAGAGGACCCGATCATGCTTCGGTATTCTTCTCGGTCCACGGCTTCTCCCTCCTTGTCCTCATCCAGGGGCCGTCGTGGTTGACATGGGCGTTGAAAGAGGCTTGGCCTCACCCATATCAAATTTCTTGAGCACGTCCTTGGTGTACTTGCCTTGGTGCCTGAACGTCCCCTCACGAGTTTGCTTGATTTGCGGCCGAGGAAGAAAGTCAATTCGCCCATCATGCTCATCTCAAATTCCCCACTCATAGTATCTCAAAACTTGGCAACAAGAGCATGAGAAGAGCCACCAAAGATTATATCATCCACGATATCCCGAACCAAAGGATGTCTCATGCCTTGCTTGAGGAGGAACAAAGTCTTATCTACTTAACCCATCCTAAAACCCTTATCAAGCGTGAAAGCTTTCAAACGCTCATACCGGGCTCTCGGGGCTTGTTTCAAACCATACAAGGCTTTGTGAAGTTTAAAAACATGGTTGGGGTACTTTGGATTTTCAAAGCCAGGGGTTGCCTCACATAAACCTCTTCCTCTATGTACCCATTCAAGAAGGCACTCTTCACATCCATCCGATATGACTTGAACCCTTTCGAAGCTGCAAAATGCTAAAAGAATCCTAATGGCTTATAGACAGACAACAGAGAGCAAAGGTTTCTTCATAGTCTATTCCCTCTTTTGGCAAAACCACGAGCCACTAATCTCGCCTTGTTTCTCACCACCACCCCATCCTCACTCTGCTTGTTCTTGTAAACCCACTTTGTACCTATGGGGTGGCACTGCGTGGAGGTGGAACTAAAACCCACACTTGGTTCCGCTCAAAGTTCTCTAACTCCTCATGCATAGCATTAACCCAATCGGCATTAGATAGTGCGTGTCCAATATCTCGAGGCTCAAAAGAAGCTACAAAAGCGTAATGAGCGAAATGGGAAATATGATAAGACTTGGAACGCGCGTTACCCTTTCGTCGATGTCGCCAATCATGGTCTCGAGGAGGATGGCGTCATTTGGATGTGTCGAGGTGCACCCAAAGACGGTTGCCTCCCCTTCATCCACAAATTGGGGCCTCCTCGGTCGATTGAGGAAGCGGCTCGCCTTAACCCCCCATAAAGTAGAGGTGGAGGGCTCGGGGCCGTGAGCCGAGGTGGTCGGCCCGGCTCAATCGGGGCAGCCGGTTGAGATGGCTTGGGATCATCCCAATCGGCGTCGTCGTCGTCCTCAACGAAAATCTTGTCGCCCACCTCTTCATCACCCGCATGTTCAAAGACGAAATGAGAAGAGGGCATGGTTTCGTCGAAGGTGACTTCACAAGTCTCCACGACACGGTTAGTCTCAAGATTAAGCACACGAGTGCGCATGTGAATGAGAAGCGTGGCAGAAATATACCGTCCAAGAT